ATCCTTCTAGTCTTCCAAGTTTATAACATGGGCATTACTCCTCACTTGTCAATCTCCATATCCAATCAGTTGTCCAATCTTATCATTTCTACCTTCCTGACATCTCTTACATTTGACCCATTCCTGCCACTCTCAAAGATACCACTTTTATTTAAGTCATCTCCTCTCACCTATATTATTGTAACAACCTCCTAATTAGTTTCCCTGCCTCAAATTTCTCACTCCATCCTATACACTACTACAAATAATTTTCTGGCTGTGTGACTACTAGTGCCCTTCCTCCCAAACTACTTTGTATTTATTCTCTTTATATTTATTCTGTATATATTTATGCACATATTTATTGTGTTCCTCATTAGAATGTAAGCTCCTTGCAAGTAATCATCTTCAGTGCCTAGCACAGTACCTGTTACACGGTAGGTACTTAATAAATATTTCTTGATTGACATATATAATGAAAAGAAAAATAAGAACAATAATAGTTATTGCTCTTTTATAGTGCTTTAAGGTTTGCAAGATGCTTTACAAATATCTCCTTCTATCCTCTTAACAATCCTGGGAGGTGGATACTATTATCTCCATTTTACAGATGAGGAAACTGAGGAAAATGGAGGGTAAGTGACTTGCCCAGGGTCATATAGAATAGATAGTAAATGTCTGAGGTTGGATTTGAACTCAGTTTATCCTGATTCCAAGTCCAATTCTCTAGAAGAATACTGGCTCTTGAGTCCGTAGCCTGAGTCAATAAATAGTATGACCTTGGGCAAGCTATTCAACCTCAATGGGCCTCAGTTTTCCCATCTATAAAATGAATGAGTTGGGTTAGATGGCTTCTGAGGTCACTTCAATCTCTAGATCTAAGTACCTATGAGTCTGTGACCTAGGAAATGAAACTACAAAATGTATAAAATATCTTAGATTTGGCTTACCAATATATACTAAGGACATAATGTGGATATAACGAGAAGACATTCTTTACAAAAATAAAGGAGTAATTCAATAACTGAAGAGATACTCAGCACCCATGGTTGTGCCACAGCAGTATGAAAGTGATAACGATACCTTAATTTATAGATTTGTCATCAAACCAATCATACCACAAGAGGTTATTTTGCAGAAAAATGATAAAATTCATTTGGAGAAACAAAAGGTCAAGACCATCTAAAAATAATGAGAAAAAGATAGGAATTAATGGGGTTCAGCATTATCAGATGCCAAACTGCAGTACAGTATAGTAATGTCAAAACTATTTACTACTGGTTGGTAGAAAAGCTGATCGATGAAATAGACGAGGTTAAACAAGGCTCTGAACCCAAAAATGCCAACCAGGTCCTAGAATAAAGACTCCCTATCTGACAAAAAATAAGCAAAAAAAAAAAAAAAAATTCCCAAAACTTTGTGGAAAATTAGAAAAGCATTTTGGCAGAAATTGGATTTAGACCAACATTTTATACCATGTGCCGTGATAAGTTTCAATGGATACATAACCTACATATGTAAAGTAATATAATTTTGAAAAATAAAGGAGAATAGAAAGAAATACCTTATACAAATATGGCTTGGAAGATAATTCCTAACTAAACAAGGGATAAAGATATTCATGGAAAATAAAAGTTTTGATTATACAAAATTTAAAAACTCTTGCATGAACATAATAATTGCATCTAATTAGAAGAGAAGCAGTTAATTGGGAAAATATTTACAGTAAATGCCTCTGAAAAAGGGTTAATATTTTTATATATTTGTATCACTATATCTTAAATAAGAACCATTCTCCAATAGACAAGTGGTTAAAGGATACGAACAGGCATTTTTCAAAAGATGAAATACAAACCATTAAAACCATGTGAAAGAATACTCTAAATCACTAATACTTAAGAGAAATACAAATTTAAGCACAGAGTTTTTCCTCTCAAAAGAAGCAGTGTTGCATAGTAGATAATGAGTTTCCCTGGATTCAAGAAAAAACAGGGTTTAAATTAAGTCTTGCTTCTGACAGATACTGGCTATGTGATCTTGGGCAAGTCACTTAACCGTGTAGAGTCCCAGGCAATTCTCAAAGACTGTAAATTGTAGAAAAGGCACTATGCTGTACTGGCAAAGGGAATTTCCATATTGGAAACCATCACATTAAAATCCTAAGTGTAGTCACATTTCATACCACCCATAAGATTGGCAAAGGAGACAAAAATGATGCATATTGTAGAGGCTGTCAGAAGACAGGCATACTAATGGACTGTTAGTGGAGCTATGAACAATTCTGGAAAACAATGTTGGAATTATATTTAAGAAGGCACTTACCTGTAAATACCCATTGATATTAGGCATATGGCCCAAAGAGGTTTACAACCCCACAAACACTAAAATATAACATTATTTTTTGTAGTCACAAAGAATTGCAAAGAAAGTTAAGTAGCTATCAATTACGGAATGGCTGAACAAATTATGATAGATGGCATGTGGAACAAATTATGGTATTTGAAAGTAAGAATATTAGAGAGGCAGTGTGGTGTAACAGAAAGGAAACTGATTTGGAGTCAGAGGATCTGGGTTCAAATTCCACTTTTTGTCACATTATTGGTATGAGCTGGTAGCTGGGTCCCTAGGACTAGCCATCTTTAAAAATGAGGAGGGTTAGACTGGATGGCCTTCTAAGATTCCTTTCAGCTCAAAATCTATCATCCTATGATTATTATGCCATAAGTAATGATATCTATGAAAATCCAGAGAAACTTCAGAAGACTTTTTTATCAATGAATGAAGAATCAAGTAAGTAGAACCAGAACAATGTACATGATGACCACAATCATGAAAAAGAAAACCATACAGAAAAACTTTCAGATCTCTGATAATGCAATGACTTCAGGGAAACTGATACATTTCAATCCCCTCCATCCCCTCCCTGCCCTGGCCACACACTCAAAGATCCAACCCCCACTAGCAGCAAAGAAGCCATGTGGGTGCAGAACGAGGCACACGATTGTAGAGATGGCTCAATGTGTGGACTGGTTTTACTTGACTATATTTATTTGTTACAAGAAGTTCTACTGGATGGCTAGAATGCAGCCATTGAGAAGAGAGAGTGATGTAAAAAAAAAAAGAGCATCATTAAAACTTTAATAAATAAAATGAAACCAAACTCAATCTTGATCCCAGAGCGTAGATAATGAAACAACTCCCCTTCCTTTAGCAGAGAGGGATTAACAGGGGAATAATGTTGGATGCAATGTCACAGACACAGTGACAGTACTGGCTGTTTTTGCCTAATTGTTTTTCTTTATTAAAAGGTTTCATTCTGTGGAGACTGGAGGGTAGAAATCTAGAAATGACTATCATGTAAAAAAAAAAAAGGTATCAATAAGGCTTTAAAAAACTGTAGGAAAATAGACTGCATAAAGTAGAAAATAAGATAATTCTTTAATAAAAGACATTTCAGTGTTACTTTGTTCTACTTTAAATTCACATTTCTATTATAAAAACTATTCAAAACTGTCTACAATAGTAAAATTATTGATGGCTACCCATGAGGCAATACTTAACTACTGCTGAATTCAGTTATCCAATGGAAAAATGGCCTTTGATCACAGCCTCAGTATTCTGTACACCCTACTTTACCTTCTATTCCATACTTTTAAAATTCTTCTGCTAAAGTCCTATTCTAATCCATATTGTAGCATGTTGTTAAAGTGCACTCTGAATTTTGAGAGATCTGTGAGTTTGAATGAAGACCAGCCCAGCTAAGGGTAGAAGTCCATCATCAGAAGGTTGGCTCTTACTGGATATTTCATCACAGTGATGAAATAATGGGCTTCTGAAGAATTGAATGAAAAAATGAATTGGGATTATTAGCAAAACTCATGCCTGCAAACTTGAATTTTTCTCTGAATTGATTCTATTGTTTACAGGTCTTATTCTATGTTACAAAGATTATGTTTTCATGTCTTTTTTGTTGAATAGTCTACAAACAAGAATCATAAGTGAAAAAGGTATCATTAGAATACTAATCATCACATTTCCTTCTTGTGTTTAAATTGGTATTGAAGTCAAGTAATAGGAGACATTTTTTTTTCCTTTTTCAGAATTTTCAGAATGAATATTCTGCTTGTCAAACATTAATTCTCTTTTAAGAGTGGCTAACAAACTTTTTTTTTTTGGCTATTTGATAGAAACTTTAGGGCTCTTTCTTTTACACAACTTCCTCAAGGTTGAAATGGATACAAAGAAGTTCTCTCTTTCCCCAAATACAAATACTTAAGACTGTAAGATGACTGGAAATTAATGGAACTCTTTACTCTTTGAAAATCCCAGTAATCATGGATTTGATTTAGATGGGTAAAGAGGCCATCAAAGTTAATCCTTACCTTGATAACCATTTTGATGGCACACAGTATATGACAAAAAATCATCAACTAGACAGCATATCACATGTTTTTACTGACTAAGAGTTAAATTGTTCTGTATCAAGAGTATATGTTTGGGGCAGCTAGGTGGTACAGTGGACAGAGCACCAGCCCTGGATTCAGGAGGACCTGAGTTCAAATCTGGCCTCAGACACATAACACTTACTAGCTGTGTGACCCTGGGCAAGTCACTTAACCCCACTGCCTAACCAAAAAAAAAAAAAAAAGAGTATATGTTTACTTTGGTACAAGTATATATATGTCAATAAATCAATAAATATTTATTACTAAGGATGTATAAACAGTAATTAAAGTAAATATGTTGACACTATGTTCTTACTCAAAATGATAACTAAATATCATAGTTCAAACAATATTTTTAGTGAACTAATGCTATAACAACATTTATACATTTGGATATAACCAATGTTGGACACAATTTGCAAAATGATTTGCTAGTTAGGTTAAAAACTATAAAGCAGAAAACCTAAGTTAAAAAAAATATCCATTTCCAAGACCCTTATCTATATATAGAATTTTCTTAATCTACCTACTGTATTGGATGTACCTATTCTGCTGATAAACAACTAGGAATGTTACCTGTAGAAATGTGGTACTTGCTCCATGTTGGTTCTGTTGCTTGCTATTTGTGGAGGTAGATGATCAGCTTCAGTCCATCTCTATTAAATATTTCTCCCAACTTGGGAAAACGCAGCATGTAAGCTAGAATAGGTGGAAGAGAGAAGTCATCCTTACTATGTGCACAGTACTTGGCTAGGAACTACGGGAATTACAAAGTTTGGTTGAGATAGTTCTGCCTTCATGTAGCTTAGCTAACTAGAGGCAGTCTAAAATGATGTACCTTTAATAGATATTTTTTAATGTTTCGGTGAATCAAAAATAAGATTAAAATATTATGTTGGGTATAAATTATTTTAGAATGGTACTATGAGACAGTATTTAGTATCACATAAATTAAAGCCTTTCTTGATCAATAAAATTCAGCAACACCTAATGTGCCAATGTTGGTATATAGAGAGAATAAAATCCTATATAAGCATTGCTAGTGAATAGGGTATTTTATGTAATTGAAGATTCGAGATAACTGAAGTTTTAAAACTTTTTTCATTTTAATTCTTTGAACAGAAATCTTTCTAAAATGCTTAATTTCCCAGCTCCCTTTTAGGTGTTTTCTACCCCATTAGAATATAAGTTCCTTGAGGGCAGAGACTTTTTTTCTTTCTACTTGTATTCCCAGTATTTAGCACATTGAACACTTAATAAAATGCTTGTTGACTTGGTGATATGCCTCTCAAAAGTGAGCTAGGGCAATCTTTGGAGGACATATCATCTGTCATCAGGCCCATATTTGAAATTTTTTCAGAGAGGTTGGGTCTTCCACATCTCATACAGGGCTGCAATAGTCTTCAAGAACTGAGGATCACCTTCGTATCTGATGAGATTCTGGAGTAGAACTTTAGTAGAGAGAATATACACTGAAAATAATTTTCTTGATGACTCATGATCATCATTATAAATGCCAATTATCATTTCTAGTGACATAATGATGCCTTTAACACATATTGAGGCATGAAGAACAATTTGTCCTTATTCTAAGCAGTTAGTTCTGCCGGTTCCGCTAAACTTTTTAGTTCTTGTGTCTATTTTTTATAGTTCTTCTGTTTCCTCCCTTTTATCAACTATTTGCCTTCTTTGTTGCTTCTAATACTTTAAATTTCTAAAGTGATTTAAGGTTTGTAAAGCACTTTCTTCATGACAACCCTTCAGTAGGTTAGGAAACAAGTAACTAAGTTTTTAGAATTGGATAAACTCAGAGCTAATATGCAAAAAAAAAAAGATGATTGGTTCTGGAGCATTGAGAGTCTCAGGAGCTCTCCTTTGAATGAAGTACTTGAACATGGTCTTTGTAATACTTATTTTGGATGCTAGGAGGTTTATTAGTTGACTTCTTTGCTGTTTTGTTCCAAATACTTGAGGTATCAAGATAAGTTATTAATTACACAACTTAATAATTCTAGTATGTGCTCTAAACTCAGATTTACAAATGCTAAAATATTTAAGCCATATAAATAAATGAAAAGCAAAGTATTCAAACACATACCTTATTTTCAGAAGAAAGTTGAAAATGTATGCAAACCACATTTTATATTAGCAGTCTGAGTTAAGATTAATTACAAAAGAGAAAATGTCTCTAAAATTTGTTAATTTGAAAACTTAATATTATGCAAGTGGTAAAACTAGACCAGTAACATGAAACCAAAATCCTGAAATGTTAATAGTTCTGCCCATTCTATATTTTCCTGGTTGTTAAATTGCATAAAGATCTTCCTGGGAGATTAGATGGGAGAGAGATGAGATGGTATTAAACTACTTTTTACTTGAAATGTGAGCCTGTGTGTCTTGAAATTAAAAGTTAGTTCATCTTAACTTTACAATGGTTTACAGCTTCAAAGAAAATAATGTCCTCTTTGTTATTGTCCTATATTTATGAATAATTTTAATTCACTAAGTAATTAATGAAGAAATAGAAACTGAATAGTTCAATTTGAACTATTCAATAGTTGAATATTTCTTCATTAACTATATTACTAAAATAAATGAAACTGGTTGAGATTTATTAAATAAAAACATTTCAGATTTGTCAAATAATTACTCTGCTTTAAAAACAATAAAAACAGGGATCTTTCATTTTTATTGCGCATTTGGTTTTTTAATATCTTAATTTACAATCCCATAACTTGGATAGTCAGTTACATTTCAAGCCTGGGATGGCAAGTCCCCCTAGCTAATTTTAGCCTGAGTAATTTTGGAGTTAGACTGGGATTAATGCAGAACACAGAAAAATCATGCATAGTTTGTTTTTAGGTCTAAACTGAATTCATATCTTCTATTTAAGCAACAGGCTCAAAGGGAAAGGTGGGCCTGAAGCATGTCAACATAATAGTCTTCAATTTGATGAGCCCTTAGTTGATTTATCTATAATACCATTGCCTGTGTGTATCTATAAAACTTCTGTGAGGTTTGCCTTTAGACATCAGATGAACTTCAAACCAAGATTCTATTTGAAGTCCCAGCATTTCAAATGGAGAGGGGGCTCTCTTCAGTCCAAAATCTTGTATCTATTTCAGTAAACTTAACAACCTTACACTGAGCTGGCTGGGAACATCATTTGTTCAATAAATACTCTTTTCATTTCTTCATCTATTGTGTAGAACAAATCTGTCTTGGGAGGTTGATTTTGTCAGTTTCCCAAGTTCAATCTATGTAAACCAGGATCAGTAATCACTCAAAAGTCAATATGCTATACTTTTTGTGGTAGCAAAAAAAAAAAAAAAAAAGGTGGGGGGGAGTGGATTTTCATCATCATTTTGATTGGAATTTCATTATATTCCTGCCTGGGTTGTATTTTTCCTAAATGTAACATATAGTGGAAATTTTTATTAATTTATTTTATAGCCTACTATTTTACTAACACTATTAATCATTTCAATTAGTTTATTTGCTTCTCTGTTGTTTAAAAAAAAAAATCAACAAACCAGCATGTCACTTGTATGTAGGGATAATTTTGTGGGTTTTTTTTTTTTTGGTCAATGCCTGTGCTTTTGATTTCTTTCCCTTGTCATACTGCTACCGCTAGCATTTATAGAACGCCTGTCAAATAACAGTGGGGTAATGTGGTATCCTTTCTTTATCCCCTGTATTTATTGGGAAAGGTTTTAGTATTTCTCCACTGCAACTAAGGTATTTACATAGGCAGCTGATGGTGCCATGGATAGAGTGATAGTAATGAGCCTGGAATCAGGCAGCCCTGAATTCAAATCCAGCCTCAGATAGGTACTAGTTGTGTACACCTGGACAACTTAACTTCTGTTTGCCTTCATTTACTCAACTGTAAAATGGGGATCTTAACAGCATCTACCTTGCAGGGCTGTTGTGAGGATCAAATGAGATATCTGTAAAAAAAAGTGCTTAGCATAGTGCCTGATACACAGTAGGCTCTATATAAACATCAATTCCCTTCCGCTTCCCTTTCCAGGAGAATGAGGGATAGTGCCACAACTTGGATGAGAAAGTGTGACTGAAAGAAAGAAGGCAGCATTCAATTTCTTTGCTTCAGTCTTTTCTATCATGAATCACATGATCATAAATTTAGAGCTGCAGGAATGCTGGTGGTCATAATAATCTGCAAACCAGAAATGGGAAGAATAAATGTGACATTTGAGGACTAAGTTAGGAAAAGAGAAAAAGGACACCTAGCTCCTTTTAATTAAGCCCTCTACGGCTAGACAAATTATTTCTTAGGTTATTGAAAAAACTGGCAGATTTAATTTAAGCATTACTGCTACTGATCTCTTAAGAGAAATGGTACCAAAAGTCTAGAACAGGTAGGTGTTGTAGTTTTCAAAAAAGGGAAGAAAAGGTAGACTCTAGAAAACAGACTAATAAGGTTGATACCTATCCCTGCAAAACTCTATAACAGATGGTTTATAAGCATAAAAAATAAATCATTGACTACTGTGTACCAACATGGGTTCTCTAAAACTAAATCATATCAAATAAAGTGTGTGGTTTTGTTTCTTTTTTATGAAAGTTATTAGATGGGTAGGTTAAGAGAATGGCATAAACCATCTACTTTAACATCAATAAGGTGTTCGACAAAATCTCTCATGATATCTTTGTGAAGATGTAAGAATATGGGCTGAATGGTAGTATTTTTTTTTCCAGTGAATTTATAGATGGTTGAACAGTTGTACCTGAAGAGCATTGTAATCGATTATCCTGGAGCATAATCTCTAAAACTGTGCTATTGCATGTTTGATCCTGTCCCACTGAAAATTTTAATCAGTAATTTGGATGGAGACACAAGAGGCATAGTTAACAGGTTTGCAGATGGCCCAATGATAGGTGGAATGGCAAATGTGTTAACTTTACTCTTGTGAAAGGCACAATTCAACTAGTCTTCTATGTTCCAAGCATTGGTGTTATATTTGAGTAGCTCATCAGTTCTGATCACTCTATGATCTCTAACATTCATCTTTTTCTGTTTTCCCACTGCCATCATCTCAATACATGCCTTACTACCACCACCACCTTGGACTTGTAAGAGGTTCCTAAATGGTCTTCCTGCCACCAAACCATCTTCACTGCTGCCACTTGTTTTCCTTAGGCATAGATCTAGTCATGACACAGTCTTCTACTGAAAATCCCCCAATCACTCCCTATTCATCGTTCAAAATATTTTATCTAGAATTTTATACTGTTCACAAACTAGTATGTCAACCTCCCCCCAAGCCTTACCTCATACTACTCTTCCCCCTCCCCTCCACATACTTCCTCTACACTTCAGCTATACTGGACTACTGGCTTTGCCCCTTATATATACCCCATGCTTTTCTACCTCTGTTAGTCATTGAGTCCATCAATCAACAAATATTTATTAAGCACTTACTATGTGCTCAGCACTATGCTAAATGCTAGGGATACAAAGAAAGGCCAAAAAAAGGTCCTACCCTCAAGGAGAATACATTATAATGGGGGAGACAACACGTAAATAACTAGGTATACATAAAATATAAATAGAATAGATGAATCTGAAAGGGGAAAAAATTAGTAAGTGGGAGGGGCAAGGAGAGGCTTCCTGCAGAAGGTGGGATTTGAGCTGAGTCTTGAACGTAAACAGGGCAGTAAGAGCTAAAAGTGAGGAGGTCAGAGCATTGCAGGCATGGGCATCAAATAGTGAAGAGACCTCAAGATGGGAGATGTAGAGTGGTATTCAAGGAAAAAGGTAGATGACAATGAATCCAAGGAAACCAATTCCTCTGTCATAATTAGGTATATAATAATGCAATATAATACATGTAATGTATATTATTCTATATCATATTTATATGAGTATGAATAAATATTCTCCCTATTACTCTGTAAATTCTATGGGGAAAGGAACTCTCATTTAAATGTCTCATTTTAGGAGTAAACACCAAATTGCTGAATATATTAAATACCAGAATCAATATTTTAAAAAATCAACACAGGCTGGAAAAATAAGACCAAACAAAACAGGTTGCTTTGAAATTTCAAATCCTATATTTAGGAAAAAAAAAAAGCAACATAAATACAAGATTGGGAAGACACGGTTTGTTGATTTATATAAATTGAGCCAGAAGTTCAATATAAGACTATCACAGTATGATATGGCAACTAGAGTAATTTTAGTCATTATTATTAATACAAAACAATTTATCCAAATTAATTCAGCTGTGAAATACTTTTAGACTTGAACTATATTTAAGAAACCTATAAATCCTGACCCTGGTGAATGTTATGCCTGAGAAAGAAAGGGATGGTATTGGTATATTTCAGCATAAAATAGATGAAATAAGTCTGTTTTCATTCAAAAAAGCTATATTTATTTTGTTATAATATAGGACTTCATGTTTAATATGTTATAGTGGAATATATTTGGTACCCATGGAATAAATATGCAATGAAATTTTCTCATGAAACTCCTACGCACATCACAAAAACAAAAGGATCACGTGGAACATGGCTTGGGATATACTGTAGCAGTCCAGGTCAAGGGAAATAATAGTTCCCTGTATCTTTCATTAATCAGATGACATGTAAAATATTGTGTTAACATCTGGGAACCTTTTAGAAAAAGAAACTAACAAACTAAAGTGCAATCAATGGAGGATAAACAGGATGATGGAAGAAGTCTGGAAACCATGTCACATGAAGAATAGTCAAAGGATCGTGGATGGAAGAGATACAATCAACAGGAGATGTGATAGCCATTTTCAAATATCTAAAGAACTACCATCCCATCTTTGCTTGAAGAGCTCTAATGTATGGAAACCCATTTTGCCCCAGGGCACTCTGTTCAATTTTTTGATAGGGCAGCTAGGTGTTATAGAGTGGATAGAGTGCTGAACCGGAAGTCAGGAAGACCCATCTCAGTGAGTTCAAATGTGGCCTCAGACATTTACCAGCTGTGTGACACTGGGCGAGTCACTTAATTCTGTTTGCTTCAGTTTCTTCATCTGTAAAAAGAGCTGGAGAAGGAAATGGCAAAGCACTTGCTTTGCCAAGAAAACCCCAAATGAGGTCACAAAGAGTCGGACATGACTAAACTGACTGAAGAACAAAATTTTCCTTATATTGTTTGAACTGAAAACTGCCTCACTTTAGTGTTTTAAACCATTGCTACTAGTTCTGCCTTTTGAGGTCAATCAGTACAAGACCAGTGCATTTTCTACAGGACAGCTATCATGTTCCCTTTGCCCCAAGTCTTCTCTCTTCTCTAGGATAAACATTCCTACTTCCTGGAAGATGGTCTCAAGGCTCTTCATCATCCTGGTGGTCCCCCTATACACAGTATGTCAACGTTCTTAAAACGGTGCCCAGAAATGACTACTAATACTCCATACATGCAGTCTGACCAGGATGGAGTATAGAAGACTTTCTTTTCCTGGGCTCTGGATACTATGCCTCTCTTTATTAATAAGGCCTAAAATTACATTAGTTTATTTGGCTGTGGTTAGTTAATTATCAACAATCCTAAAATACTGAGAAGTTCTATCTACTGTCCTTCTCCTAATGTCACATTGTTCCAGAGCTCTATTCTAGTCACTAAGTCTTAGTAATACATATATGAGGTCAAATCTGATTCCTTACATTAGGAGATCTAGTTCACCTTATTATTATCCAAATTGTATGCATTTATGTAGACATTTGATGCCATGATTATTACTCGTTTCCTTTCTTGATTTTGTCTATTAGTGAGCATTTCTACTGTTGTTCTTTCTACATTCTAGCTGATACACTCTACAGTATCTAGTTTAGAAACATAAATTAGTAGTTTTCTTCACTCTCAGAATTATGATTCTGCTAATGTTTTAAAGGAATATTAGAAATAAAATGAAACTGCTTTATAGCATGGTATGATAAGATTCATCATAAAATGTTATTATTCATTGGTAATTTAGATATCTACTAGGTTTAGACAGAGCCTTAGCCTATAATTATACTTCAATAATATATGCTTAAACTTATTCCCACAAACTAGTGGTAAAAATGTGAATCTGAATGGAAGATTCAGGAGGCAGCTGTGTTTGGGTGAATGTGGCTTGAAATAGGAAATATATTTATAACAATTTGAAAGTAAAAGCCATGATTTTTAAAAATGCATAAGACTTTCTTTGCCCTTTATTGCAGAGGTGGGAGAAAATGAGCATGTAATATTATATATGCTGTCAGGAAAGGCTGATGTGTAGATTAGTTTTGCTGAACTGCTTTTGGGAGGGATATACTCAGAAATGAATGAGAGACATCAAAAGAACAAAAGACATCAAAATAAAAGATATAAAAAACCAAATCATCAGATTTAAACTTTTATTCTCACATTAAGTAAATTCTTCAACTTAGCAAAAAATTATAAATACTTTCCCTCAAGGAAACAGCTTAAAAATGTAAAAGAAAAAAACCAAACCATTGTGAAACAGTACATTTAATTATGTAACAGAGTTTTTGCAATGGAGAAACTGAGTCACATACATTCAGATTAAATATTTTTAAAATTTTATTTTTAATTTTTTTGTTCAGATTAAATATTAAAAGTTTTTTATGTAATTTGCTAAATATCTCATAGGTAATCAGGATAAATTCTACCTTTGATAGATTTTAAATAAATGTTAGCTGATAATGTTGATAAGTGGAAGCATACACTCCATCCTTCATTTTAGAAGTCTCTTAAATTTAATGACTGCTTCTTCTAAGAGTGGTTAACAGTCTTGACCTCACAATCATCAAGCAGAAAACTGCTGTAACTGTCCCTGTTTTCCTTGTTTGTACTATATATTTTGCAAGTTAGTTAGTGAGACTTTAGTATTAAGATTGTTTGTGACAAACATAAAAAAAGAAAAGAGTATGTTCTTACCTTACTTATTTTAGCCAGCTGCAAACTCCAGGTGAAGTTTTGTGACCTGACACCACCATCCCAGCACATGGTGAATCAGGGTCACTTGGAACGGTAACTGGCAAAAGAAAGAAAAGACGAGTGTGGTCAGAGATGTGTGCTTTGATGCATGGGAACAGAGGGAGCTGGGGAGAAGTTATGCCTTGTGGTTTACTTCAAAGAACTATTACAGAAACTTTCAAAGATTTGGAGTTCCACAGGTCAGGGATATAGACTTAAAAATTATCTACATAGAGAGTGCAGTTGAAACAAACCATAGGATCAAATGATATTGCCAAGAAGGAAGAGAGACTACTAAAAGAAAAGAGGATTAGGGACAGAACCTTAGGGAACATTCATCTTAAGAGACATATTAGAGAAAGGCAGAAAGAGAATCAAGAGAACAGAAGATCTTAGAAGTCAAGGAAGGGGAAGAGTATCCAGAAGGAAAAGGTGGTTGATAATGTCAAATGCTACAGTCAAGGAGGAAAGAAGGCCTGATGTGGTAATTAGTAGATCACTAAAGACCTCTGAAAGAGCAGTTTTAATAGAGGGGTAGAAATGGAGGCCATTTTGCAACGCTGTCCATGAAAGAGCAGAGATGGTAGCTAGATTATAGAATGGTCAATGGAAGATATTTTTAGGAATAGGAAAACAGCTCATTTGTAAACATGTGAAAGAAGTAATGGAGAGTGAGAAGCTTAAGATGCATGAGATAGACAGAGGGATGATTTGCTGAGAGAAGCAATGTGGAGAAAAGATAAAATCTGAAGGTAAAGAGATTGGCTTCAGAAAGTAATAATATGCATTCCCTCTAAGATAGGAGAGAAGATATAATGGATGAGGATCCTGTTAAGTTTTAGATTGTGGAGGAGAGTCTGAGGAATTTTCCATTTTGAATTGAGCCTGAATGGCCTGTAAGAGCCATCCCATAGAACATGTGCCCAGAGCCAGAACTCCCCTGGAAACTTCTGAGGACCCTAAGGACATGGTGACTCATTGTTTGGGCCATTTAAGGATGATGAACTTTTCCAGCTGCTTCTGGCCAATCATGTTGCTTTTTAATATGACTTGGTAAATAAACCCCGAGTAGTCCCTTCACCATCTCCCTAACTCTTGACAATGATAACAGGACTAGGTGCTGAAATTGTTGAAAAAAGAGACTGCCGCTAATGGTTAGCTGGCTTTCTCTCAGCTTCCACTCTCCAGATGCACAATACAACTCCTACTTAGGGGAGAGAGGAAGGATACACACCTTGCCCTCCCTGGGTGAAGGGATGTCACCCACATGGCAGTGAGTACCAGGGGGAACAAAGAAGCAAGCTTACACTTGGGCCCCTGGTCACTTCTGTAACTTCTGTGTTTGTTCTTTCTTAATCTTAGACAAATGACTATCCTGAGGCAGAACTGTCCATCACTGTAGACAATACTGTCTGACAGGTCTGGAAGTTCCATTGGCAGTTGGAATTGAATGGTAGCAGAGGGAATCTCCAGTGATTACTCCAGCACACTTGCTGAGGACAGTCGTTAACAAGAAGATGACCAACTCAAGTCTGGCTGCATCTTTTTGGACAGTGTCAAGTCAAGGGAAAATATAAAATGCCTTCTCAGTAGACCTGCAAATTGCTTTACGTTCAAATAAGGTTTAAGTATTAGCCTCATGACAGGTTTTTTTTTTTGTTTGTTTTTTGTTTTCTTGGCTAGGCATGGGGTTAAGTGACTTGTCTAGGGTCACACAGCTAGTAAGTGTTATGTGTCTGAGGTTGGATTTGAACTCAGGTCCTCCTGAATCTAGGGCCGGTACTCTATCCACTGTACCACCTAGCTGCCCCCAGGTTTTTTTTTTAACAATAGTTGAAAATTATTCTATATGAATCGTGTAGATGTTATATTAATTATGTTAATGTGTGCCATGATTCTTTCATGCTTAGCATTACTTTGTATGTAAAAATAAAGTACTTATCCCATATCTTGCTTCATATTGTGCACCAGCTACCTCTTGGACCCCCTTTTTTTGTGAGACCTAAGTTGTAAGCTATTTTTCCTATGGGCTCCAGGGTGGGTAGCATGACAGAATGAAACATGTGAGAAACAAGCCTACTCCTCATCAGAGGCTGAGTCCCCCAGGTCTTACCTGGGTCCAAACTGCATGTCTATACCCAAGATCAAGAGGAACAAGTGCCCTCATTCCTATGGATCCAGCTAACAGCTCCTCAGAATTACAGTGGATCATCTCAATCTTCTCCATGAAATAAGAAATTAGATTATCTGCTCCAAGTTAGTGAGAGAGAGAATGGGGTAGAAAGTGGAAAAGGAGGAAGGTAAGATTGTGATGAGAATTTGAGAGGATAAAAAGTTTAAAATAATCACTTTAGAGAATAAAATTGAGCCAGTAAATGTTGGAGACAACAGCCCAAATGAGCTATAAATGTACCATAAGCCAGTGAGGCAGCTAGGTAGCTCAGTGGATAGAGCACTGGGCCTAGAGTCAGGAAGACCCGAGTTCAAATCTAGCCTCAGACACTAGCTGAGTGATCCTGGGCAACTTATTTAACCTCTGTTTGCCTTAATCCACTGGAGAAGGAAATGGCAAACCAGTAACTTTGCCCAAAAAAACCCCATGGCCAGTATTGGTGCGCTATGGTCCACAGTGTCAAGGAAGAGTGAGACATAACAACAAGCTTGTGAAATCAACATGACTTCCTAACTTTGTTTTAGCTATCAGGAGCAGCCACAGTTTGATGGTGGGGGTTATCCAGGATTGAAGATGAGAGGAAGAATAGAAGATTAGAGGCAAAAAGCTCTCTAAGAACATAAAGTAGCAGATTTGGGGGTCAAATTTCAGTGTAGAGGCAAGTGAAATCAGAATGGGGAAAATAGGCTGGAAGAGTAAAGACCTGGAGGTCACAATATGGGGTAAGGTGCTTGTTTAATGTGTGAGTGAAAGGGTGGTAAACTATGGTATAAGGGTGGAATCATAAAGTTTAGGATTGGCCATAGCAGAAGAATGGTGGAATTGGAGGTTGCTAGAACTAAGGAAGTGGAAGAGTCTTATCATTCAAGTACTATTCAAGGAAGCCAACATGATTAAAATCCCAAAGGATAATCTTAGTCAGTAGGGTGTGAAAGGGGAGTAAAATCTAAGAAGACTGGAAAGGTAGGAAGGGTCTAGGTTGTGAAGGACTTTAAATGCCAAACACAGAATTTTATATCTTCATGTATATATTATAACTATAGAGTTTATGGAGAAGGGTGACATGGTCAGACCTGTACTTTAGCAAGCTGAGCCGCAGGATCAACTGCCAGCTGTGTGGGGAGAAACAAGGCAAGGAAACCAATCAGCAGGCTACTGTAGCAGTCCGAGCATGAGGTGGTGAGGACCGATACCAGGGTGGCTGCTGAATGAATAAAGAGAGAGATAGGGACAGGGCAGAAAGTGTGACTTGGCATCGTTGGATATGTGGGGCAAGTTCCAGAGATGAGTTAAGGGTGACACCAAGGTTGAGTTTTCATATGAAAACAAGTATCATCTCTTGTTACTTCTCTAAATGGAAGTTCTCCCAGATGATCAGAGTAACTTTATTTAATAGGAGCACATGAGAAATGAATAATTTTGGTAACTGGTTATTATAAGTAGGCAAATTAAGGCTTAAGTAAAACTTTTTTAAAAAGGGGGGGGCAGCTAAGTGGCACAGTGGATAGAGCACCAGCCCTGGATTCAGGAGCACCTAAGTTCAAATTCGGCCTTACACATGTAACACTTACTAGCTGTGTGACCCTGGGCAAGTCACTTAACCCCCATTGCCCAACCAAAAACAAAAACAAAAAACAAACAAACCAAGAATCAAGTAAAACTTAACCTATGTAAAGAGTAAAGGACAAAACATCTCATAAAACGTCAAGGCTGAATTGTGAGGATATGCACTTTAAAAGAATGAGATTTTTCCATGAAACTATACTGTTACTAGTTTTCTCCTTTTATTATTGTTACTATATGTTATGAATTGCAATTCTGGAATCTCTTTTTTGCTTAATCGGTTATTTAAAGCATATGTGTTACCACAGGAAGTATGCTCCAAATGTATGCAGTAATTATCCTCATACCAGTAGAAGCAAATATGCACAGCAAGAATAATTCTGTGATGAAGTTAAATTTCTACCAGCGTGAAGTCATTTTATTATCCAGATCACCTCACGGACTATTTTATACACTACTATACAGTGCTTGGCACATAGCAAGAAGTTAATAAATGCTTGTTGCCTAGACTGTACTTCCTTGTACATAAATAAAAGGTACTTAATAAATTTTTTTTAATGTTCTTTCAAAATCCATTTCATATTAAACTATCAAAGACAGAAGACAGATGAGGTGAAGATAAACAGCATTATACAGAATAACCTTAAAAGTTATTAGGTTTTACTAATTAAAAAAGTAAGACTGTATTCTGGTCTTAAGACACTAGCATTACCAGTATATGGTCTTTATTAAACACTTAATATATCATTTTTGTTTTGCTATTCTTCTAAAGTGCTTCTATGTATGTGCAATAGTCTTAATGGCATACAAAGGTAAGAATAGCATTCATCATAAAACTAATTTGAAACTTATTTTGCCAACCCTGCCATCATTTTAGATTCCTCAAAATAAGTTGGCTCGCTGGCAGTTTTCTGTCATAGTAACACTGTCAGGATGCCCTTCTACAATGTAGAGTGTAGATAAATAGCATTTGTAAAATTGCATGGCATGGTTTGGTGACAGTTATTCTCTCTTTGATACCACAATGAAAACATTGTTTACCCAAGATTCTACGGACGGGCTCCATGGTTGTTATTAAGTCAGAAAATTGGGAGCACTACTACTTGAGGTCTGGCCTATAAGGTTTTTAAAAAATAATTTTTGATAGCTTTTATTTTCGCATCATCTATGTTTCCCATTGCATCACCCCTGAATCCTTCCAAGAGAACCCTCAGTCCCCTGCCGTCCCACTCCCACGTGGCACCGCCCCTTGCCTCAGGAGCTCAAGCTCCGGCTACTTCCTTGCACCCAGCTTATCTCACATAGCACTGCCCACTGCCTCA